TGGCATAGCACATTTGTGTGCTTGACTTTGGTCTTGGTGCCTATCTCCCAAAGGCTCTTCTGCCATTTTGGTCGTGGTCTGGAACCCTGAGAGGTGAACCGTATGTGAGATTAGACACTTCCTATGCTTTTTGGAACCTTAACCAGTATGCATACATCACCTTCAAACAAGAAAAATATACCTTCTATTGGCTCCATATTTGGTGAAAGATTGCTTCCCACACTTCACAGTGAAGTTATATTTTCAATTTCTGGCTGAGAGGGGAAATGTCTGGCCAAGCCTTAGAATTTATCAACCCTGGAATCAACTTGGAGGTATAATGACTTCATTTGGGATCAGATCAGGTCCGAAGCCCCAGTGGAACCAATATGTCATTTCTTTTCTACGACTGTGAAAAAAACCAAATACGTATAAGAATAGCAGTAGCATTTTTGCCCTGACATGCACACCAACTTTTCTTCCCTCTGGCCTTAAGATATTCTGTTCCAAGGGCACCAGCAGATCTTTGGGCCTAGACTTTTTCACACGTCTGATGCCCTAAAAGTGTCTACAGGGTAGCGAGGGTGAGTTCGAGAATCAACTACAACCCTAAAAATTTCCTGCTTCTTTCCCCAACTCTTCAAATTTGAATCAGTTCTAGACAGTATTATAATATCATTTTGCAGAGCTCTATAAATAGATGGATTCTCATTTCTCCTCCTAAGCACTGTTTGCTCAATGTTTTGGCCCCAAAGTTCAGTCATTCCATGCAGGCATTAATCAATACAGAAGATTATTAGTGGTTACTCGTTCAGATGAGATTTGACATTATTTTCCCTCTGCCTATGGGGAGGGAAGGGGGAAGGCTGCCTAATAAAGATGAAGAGTCTTTTCTTCTTTTGTATGAAATGCAAATGATGAGGACATGGGCCATACACAGTTCTGGAGTGTGAGGCTGCTGGTTTTTGTTGAGAAAGAGAGGCAAGACCCCGGAGGATTTTAGAATTTGTAAATATAAAATTATCTGCCTTGGTGTTTAAAGAGAATAATAAAAGGGAGAAAGAGTTGGCAGGTTGCCAGATTACTTACATTACAGTAATAGATTTGCTGACCCCTGATTCTGCTGTAGAGAAATGTATTGAATTTTTCATAATATCAGATGAGGCAGATCTAAAAACCTAGTAGACGGCACACCATTATTTAACTTGAGATTTAACAAAGCCGAAATCTTTTCAAACCAGCAATTTCTTGTATGATAATTTAGTGGCTCAGATGCTAATAAATCAAGGTTATAATGCTATTGATTTGTTAATTTTAACTTGGGTTGATTTTGAGTCGTCTTTATTTTAAAAAAGGGAAAAAAGAGAAAGAAGGAGAAGGAGAAAAAAAATCTTGCTTTCACAGTGACTGAATTTAATAAGAATCTTGGTGATAGCAAAAGGCCCCCCTACTGTTTCTGCTTTGGGGTGGAAAATGTTATTCTTGTATTATTCCTAGGGAAAAATAAAATCTCATGCTGCTACAAATCTTATGCCTATGGAAAGATGTTATTTTTTAATACATGATGGCTTACCTATTTCAGAGCCATTAATGGCTTCGTAAATAAGCATTTTGCTAATCTGAAATGTGAAATCTGGATAATAATAAAGGCCCATTTATCTGCCTAGCTTTCAATTCCTAGATGTAGATCAGGGGTAAAAATCTCTCTGGATTTTCTAATGAATATATTGCTTCTCTTCCCCATTACTTCCGCCCACCTAAAACCCAGCCCACATTCTTAAGAGTTGCAGCCCATTGAAAATATTTCTCCTGTGTAATGAGTTCTTGGGGGCTGGGGTGCATTTTTGCTTTTATCTGTATAGTTTAGAAACTGATTAAATCTTTGTTGTACTACAAATATTTGAGGAATAATCATCCGCAAGGCACAGGCATGTTGCATTATACTAGATTCTTGATACAGTATGAACCTCCTCAGCTTCCTGCATTGGGCAATGTTGACCTTAATATTGGCCAACCTGTTTGTAATGGTATCACATGTACACTAAACGTTTAAATGTTCAGAAACCTATAATAGCTTTCATCCTCTTGCACTGTAAAAACTTCTAATAATCAAATGATAAGATCATATCCTGTGGGGTAATTGTGTTGTACCGTGACAGGATAACTGAAAAAACACTCAGTAAAAATCGCACCAAACGGAAATCACTATATGAACAGCGATTGTTTGTGTGCTGGGTGAGACCGTGCCCTGTTCTTCAGGGCTTAGCTGGTCATATTTCTACTTGTTTCCTTTTAGCTGCTGCCTTTCTTGTTTTATTTTGGGAACCTTTTTTCCCTGAGCCACTATAATTATCTTTTAGTGATTTAGAAGCCGGGGGGGGGGGCGGGGAGCCACTCAATCGACCTTTACACACACACACACTCACTTGCTCACATAGACTCTCCCTCTGGAAGTCTTGAACAAGCAAGGCTTGTGTTTGGATTCAGTTTTACCTTAGTCATGCCTCTTTCCAGATACAAGAAACATTTAATTCCACATTTCCTGCTTCTGGCTTTAGGCCTTTGACCAGCAAAGTGAAATGTATTTTTTACTGCTGTCGACCAGCCAGCTGCTGAGTTGAGTGAATAAGAAAAAAGAAAGAAAGAAAGAAAGAAAGAAAGAAAGAAAGAAAGAAAGAAAGAAAGAAAGAAAGAAAGAAAGAAAGAAAGGAAAGGGGAAGGAAAAAAAAAGGAATGAAATGGAAATGTTGCCCTGCTTCTTGAATCGGCAAAGTTGTGTGAGGAAATTCAAGTCTCCTTAGCGCCCACCCCTCTGGAGGGCCTGGTGGGGAGGTGAGGGGTCCTCTGGGGCCCGGGCTGGGTGTGTGCCCCACCCAGTTCTCTGCCTCCTCTCCCCTTCTTCCCCCACTCTCTGAGAGGCGGGCTCCTCAAGGTGTTGCCGGCTCAATGAGGAATGAAGTCAAGGGCAGGGGTGGTCCCAGCAAACAGCCAACGTCGGAGTACCCAGACTTCAGTGCTGCTCGGGTTCCCATGGCAACCAAACACCAGTAAAACAAACCTATCTGTCCCAACAATAAAAAATGTTTTCATTAAAGTCTATTTAAAACATTTTTTTTTCCAATGTAAAATATTCGATGCCTTTCGCTCCCAGACAAAAATCCCCAACCTGCCAATGTTAAAGGGGATCAAGTCCCCAGCAGAACCCTGCAGATAAAAGGGATTGGGGTAAGGTTGGGGACTTTACAGACGAGACGGCATAAGTTCAAGTATGAACAAGATTGCTTTTTTCTCTCTTCTTCTGCTTAGTTATGCTTTTTATTATATAAACATTAACTGTAATATTACAGTGGGAAGCAGGTATTTGGCAGCCATATATTATTTTAGTAAGTCTACATCGAGAGAACAGTTTCCAGTTTTAGCAGCTGTAACATGTTTAAACTCAGTTTGTAATGGGATCTGAAGATAACTATTCCCCATGGGCTGTGTTGATCTTCATGGCTGGCCCACTGCCAGATGGAGGGCTCGAAACTATTATTCACGCCTCCTTGCACATACTTTGTCCGAGCATGCTCAGTAAATGAATTTTGTTTCTAATACGTTGTAAATTGGGATTTCATTTTCCCATAATTTACTTGGTATTTCATTAAACATTGAAATATTATCACAAATGCCCCCACGTCTGTACTCACAAACCTGAACAGTTGTGTTTAAGGAGCTGAGCTCCAGACTGCATGGTTAGAAACCAATTTCAGGATAGCTAACAGATATCCAAACCAAAGAAGTTTTTGCCTGGAAGTCTTAGGGTTCATTAGGGTTCCCAATATTTGAACAGATTTATGTTGTTTATAAGCCAAGTACATTTTCTTCATTGAGTCAACTTGTCTTATTTAAAACAAATTATGTTTGCTGTATTAAAGTTCATATTTTTAAGGCTGAGTCTTGTATTAATCCCACAGTGAGTCATTAATCATACCAAATGCATTATAAAAACTTTAATCATTGAAGTTGAAACTGAGATTGTAATGCAATCCATCCCTTTTAATTACATCAGCTATTTTTCCCTTTCAGATCAAGAGCTATGTCGCAAAGGGAAAACAGATTAAAACTAGAGCTGTTTGATGTTTCTCTTTTTAGAACAATTTTATGTACTTTGTTTTAAAAGTTATATAATTAAAGTGCTTGAATTTTTCAGCCCTCTGATTTTTGGGGCGTGAGTGGTCTGTCTGCCTTCCTTCTCCCCGGGGACCTCTTTTGTTTGGCACCCCAAAACAGAGCTCATTCTGGAATCCCCTGTCTGCCTCAGAGTTCGGTTGAAGACAGCTGTCTCTCAGCCCCACTGTGCTTGCCTCCCATTAGCCTCTTTATCTTAAGTGTCTGGTTTATATTTTGACGTGACTGAAAACACAAACTCTGGAGGCAGGCAGAACGAGGTTCAAATGCCATCTCTAACAAACGGTGTGATGCTGAAGCAAAGATGTGGAGATTACACGGAATAATCTACGTAGTGTATCTAGGACATTAACCTGGGGCATACCAGTACCTACTAGAATATCATCCTCATGAGGTCAGGGCCTTTGAATGTTTTGTTCACTGCTGTATCTCAGTGCCGGGAACCCGGAGCACACATGCTCCATAAATAACTGTCGGAAGAATGATAAAATGGATGGTAGCCATCACGGGTGTTGCTATTATGCCATGGTGCTGTTGTTAGCGCTTAGCCAGGTTCCGTGAGCTGTGATAATGACGTTAACTTTGGATGCTTTCATTGGTATCTTTGGTATATAGATCACAAAACCAGAAAGGTGTCTTGCAAAAGAGTGTGTAAGTTACCAGGTTCTGGTTTTGGACTGAGGAAGTAGAACCCTGAACTGTGGAGTGAGTTTCTAGAAAAGCACTGGAGTCACTGGGGATGGAGTCATTCAAAAAACCGTTTGTATGGAGAAAAGAAACTAAACCCCAATAGCTTCGATGCTCCTAGAATTGCTTCCCATGATTGATCATCTCTTCTGATATCCTTCCAGATTAATCCTGCCGTATGAAAGGTTTATTAAAGGAGAGGAAGATAAGCCCCTGCCTCCAATCAAACCTCGGAAACAGGAGAACAGTTCACAGGAAAATGAGAATAAAACAAAAGTATCAGGAACCAAACGCATCAAACATGAAATCCCTAAGAGCAAGAAAGAAAAAGAGAATGCCCCGAAGCCCCAGGAATCATCAGAGGTGAGTCGCCCTCCTCCACAGAAATACCAGTCCTGTCCCGCGTCTTCCGGGGCCCTGCATCCACAGCCGGGTCCCTGCACCCCTGCAGCTCCAGACTGAGAATGGCCCCCATCTCAGCTTCACAGTTCCCCAGAGAAGGAGGGGATCTGTCAGTCTGCTCGGGAGCTGGAAGGCAGTGTGTGCTATTGAATGGGGTAGGCCAGGAATAGGATCTAGAAAGATGGGAACATCCTGTGGAAAACTGAGCAAATGCCAGCTTTGAGATAGAAGGAGCCAGAGCTTCAGCTCTGTGAAGCCAAGGGGCTCCAGTGTGAAAGATGTGGCTTCTTTGTCATTTCACAGCCAGTCTATCTGAGGAGCTGGTGTGACTTTGAAACAACACTTTGTGGGTTCTAGCAAGGAGGGATGTTGAAATGAGGGGCCATGTCTCTGCAGGACTATCCTCGAAACTTCAGAGACTCCTGTGCCTCCCATAATTGACCTCTATGCAACAGCCTTGGGTTGAGACCAATTTAGAAATATCTTAAGTACATATTTATAGGAGAATTTTGAAATTGTTCCTCTGAAACCACTATTATCTCTCATGTTAACAGGTAGTTTCTGAACCTTTTAAAACCAGCCCCAGCTGCCCACAGCCCCCGACAGCTCTTTGGTAGAAGCCATTACCCGTCAGTGTTCAGCCGGTCATGGAGGCTGATCTGGGCTCTGTTTCAACATGAATAATAAAAAACCCTGCTGCCCATAAAAAAAAAAAGAAAGAAAGAAATAACTTAGCAGCCACATTTGGAAACAGCATGTTCTAGGATCCGACCCCAGAGGGAATTTTGGTGCTGATATTAAACACCCCCTAAAAATCAGGTTTATAATGAACACATAAGAGACTCCCTAATTAAACACTGGCTTGAAACACACACACACACACACACACACACACACACACACACAATGCACACCAACCTCCTAACTAGAAATTAACCTACCCAACTGACTCCTGTGTAAGAAGATATTATGAATACCAAGAAAAGACTTTTTTGTTGTTTTTATTTTTGTTTCATAATTATTCTAAGCTTTAGTAATTAAAAAAATGGGGGGAAAAAAGATGATGCAGAGAGATTTCTAAACATCTGCAAGCTTGCAACATAAATGGCCAAAAGCAAGGAAATTCCAAGTTAAGGCTCACATTCCATTCTTCCTTTATCCTGTTGGCCTGGTGATTTATTATAGGGTTTTGGATCAGTGAGTTCTATTAGATACCATATGTACAGCATTGCCAAAGCACCAGAGGACAAACTGAGGCCAGAGGCCAGCTGACCTTTGAGTGGCTCCACTTCGGGGATGAAGTTTGAAATGGTTGTTTTGTGAGGTGGGGGAGGAATCCTCAGCCCATTGCCCTGAAGCCCATCAGCGTGGGAGATGCCTATTGCCAAGAGTAGGGCCCAGCTCCCTCCGGCTCACAGAAACCCTTAAAGCCTTCAGGCTCCCTGTTTCTTATAGTTCCCAATGCCTCGGTGCATTGTAAGTGTCTGGAGTGTCAAAGGGTATCATGGTCAGGTCATCTGAATGACCTGGAATCTCACACCCTCTCTAAGTCAACCGTATGGTAAGAATTGCTCCCCGCTTCCAACATAGACCCCTGTGTTTGACCAGGTGTATTTCTTCTCATTGACTGTGTGTTGGGGGTTTGGATTTTATTGCTGTCATTGGTGTTTTTATTCTTTAATTTTTGATGTTTTCAATACAAAGCAGTGAACTCAATGGAGATAGGAGGGCTTATAAAGCTGTGCCAGGCAAACCCACTGTCTTCAGGTCACTAGACTGCAAGTTGCCTGGTGGGAAGGTACCATGTAACATGTCAAGGCAGACCGTTAAATGCCATCCTAGAAAAAGGGTCCTTTACTTTTTTCTGCCTAGCTTTCAGAGACCCCCTAAACCTGTTTTCCAACGACAACCCCAGAACTCCGTGTAACCAACGGCCTAGGTCACAGAAACTTCCATGAGACTGGGTGTCCCCTGTAGCTTCACTTCAAACCACAGCCCCATCAGAAGCTAACATTTAAATGCAATTTGCCTTTTTCCCTTGCTATACTCATTTTTCTGTATTTTCATGTAATGCATAAGCTCAAGAGACCAATGATGATTGTTAATGTAGAACAAGCAATGATATTTGTACTGGAAAAGGCAGCTATTAGTATGAGAGAGAGAGAGAGAGGGAGGGAGGGAAGAAAAGAAAGACGATAAGCAAAAGCTCTTAGGTCTAACACATCCCTAAAAGACAGGGATATCTTCAAGTAGATTTAAGGAGAAACATCTCTGAAAGGGTGTGATTCCTTAAAATGTCTGTTTCTATGCATCCCTATACCAGCATCCTCAGTCTCACCCAAAGATGTTAATGTGTTCAACACTTCTTAACAAAGAACAACGTTCAAGGGATGAGATGGGGCGGGGGGGGGGGCCTTGCGGGAGAAGACCAGCTCAATACGACTGTTTAGCGACTGTTCTCTAGGACATGTCAGGACAGCATGACAGTTTTGAAAGGGCCTGTCAGCCAGCTGGGTCACAGATGGAAAGTTAAAATGACCTTCTAAGGTCAAACTTTGCACAGCTACATAATGCAATGAATGGGTCAAATTGTGCCCACAACTTCGGTCAATAGGGACACATAAAGAGCATCCATCTCATTGACTACAACATATTCCAGTGAGCAGAAAAGCTGTATTTGGGGCGGTGCTCACTGCCTGCATTGTGATGACTTCATTTTTAGCTTTAATAGAAATGTAGTTTGCTGCAGCCTAGAAGGACTTCGAGTCCCTCTGTCCCTCAGGTGGACAGGTTGGTGTTGCATCTGCATAATTCTCCAGTATTTTAGCATTCTCTGCATGTCATATGGCGCTGAGTAGAAATTAACACTTACGCATTGCTAATTTTTTGCATCGTACTGAACGCATTAGGATGGGATTTGCTCTCTCAGAGAAAGGCAAGGGGTTATAGTAAGTTTGTTGCTTGTGGTTGACATGGGGTTGGTTGGTTTTTGAAAGAGAGATGCTTAAAAAAAAAAAAAATCTTTCTCCAAAGTGTCATAAAGCACAACATGTAATTTAAAACCCATTTGGATAATTGACTGATTTGACAAGAAAACAACCTCAGAATTAAACTATATATTAGAATCAAGGAGTGATAAGATTGTATACCATCAGTACAGAACACTTTGCTATTTTGATAGGTGTCTCACAAGGGACTTTGAGCGAATATGCGTTTCTACCCTAATGTTTCCGTAATTTAGATTTCTTTGTTTAGAGCTGTGATTGGGGGGTAATAAAGCTTTACAGAAACTCCCTGAGCTGATTGACAAGCCTGTTTTCAAAGAAAAACTGCTGCGTGTAATATTTTGTTTCATAGCAAAATGTGTCAGTGCATTTGGCTTCCTTCTGACTGCCTTTTGAAATATTTTATCAGGTTTCATCAGAGCCAGAGAAGGAACAAGAGACTTTAAATCAGAAGAGCATCACTGAGCCTCTCCCAGCAGCAGACGTGAAGAAAAAAATGGAAGGGTACCAGGATTTTGCAGCGAGGCCCCTGGGGTCTAGAGGAGACCCAGAAAAGGACAACGACACAGATCAAGGTGCCAACAGTGAGAAGGTGGCAGAGAAGGTGGCAGAGAAGGAGCCTGCTCCTCCGCTCCCAAGTGCCCCTGCGGCCCCTGAAAGGGGTCCGGCCCTGGTGCCAGGGGCTGGCAAACAGTCCCTCACCTCTCCCAGTGCTCTTGTGGACTCAAAACAAGACCCCCAGCCCTGCTGTTTTACCGAGAGCCCCGAAAGTGAACTCCAAGAAGCACCCTTCCCTGGCTTCTCCACCACGCAGCCCCCCCTGGCAAACCAGAGCGAGCTGGAGGATGACAAGCTGCCCGCCATGGCGGACTACATCGCCAACTGCACCGTGAAGGTGGACCAGCTGGGCAGCGATGACATCCACAATGCGCTCAAGCAGACCCCGAAGGTCCTCGTGGTTCAGTCATTTGACATGTTCAAAGACAAAGACTTGACTGGGCCCATGAATGAGAACCATGGACTTAATTACACCCCTCTGCTCTACTCGAGGGGCAACCCCGGCATCATGTCCCCACTGGCCAAGAAGAAACTTCTGTCCCAAGTGAGTGGGGCCAGCCTCTCCAGCAGCTACCCCTATGGCTCCCCACCCCCTTTGATCAGCAAAAAGAAACTGATGGCCAGGGATGACCTGTGTTCGGGTCTGTCCCAGGCCCACCACGGCCAGGGTACTGACCACATGGCGGTCAGCCGGCCGTCGGTGATTCAGCACGTCCAGAGTTTCAGAAGCAAGCCGGCGGAGGAGAGGAAGAGCATCAGTGACATTTTTAAGCATGACAAGCTGGGTCGATCGGAGCCCCACCGCTGCAGTTTCTCCAAGCACCACCTTAGCCCCCTTGCTGACTCCTATGTCCTGAAGCAAGACATCCAGGAGGGCAAGGAGAAGCTCCTAGAGAAAAGGTCACTCCCCCACTCCCACATGCCCAGCTTCCTGGCCGACTTCTACTCGTCTCCTCACCTGCACAGCCTCTACCGACACACGGAGCACCATCTTCACAACGAGCAGACATCCAAGTACGCCTGCAGGGACATGTACAGGGAAGCGGAAAACAGTGTTTTTCCGTCCCACAAACACCAAGAGAAGCTCCACGTGAATTATCTCGCGTCGCTGCATCTGCAAGACAAGAAGGCGGCGGCGGTGGCGGAAGCCCCCACGGACGACCAGCCCACGGATCTGAGCCTTCCCAAGAACCTGCACAAACCCACGGGCAAGGTCCTGGGCCTGGCCCACGCGGCGCCGGGGCCCCAGGAGAGCAAAGGCGTCTCTCAGTTCCAGGTCATGAACAGCCAGACTCGGGACTGCCACCCCAAGGCCTGCCGAGTTTCGCCCATGACCATGTCGGCCCCGAAAAAGTACGCCGAGTCGCTCTCGCGGTCGGGGAAGCCTCAGCACGGGAGACTGGAGAACTTCAGGAAGATCGAAGGCATGGTCCACCCGGTCCTGCAGCGGAAAGCCAGCCCTCAGAACATTGGGGCCGCGCGGCCCATCAAGCGCAGCCTGGAGGACCTGGACCTGGTGATCGCCGGGAAGAAGGCCCGGGCCGTGTCTCCCCTGGACGCGTCCAAGGAGGCCTGTGGGAAGGAGAAGGCGGCCTCCGAGCCAGAGGGCGACGGCAGCAAGGCGGCGCCCGGCGGCCATTCCGGGGGCGCGCCGGAGGGCCACAAGCTTCCGCTCTCCTCCCCCATCTTCCCAGGTCTGTATTCCGGGAGCCTGTGCGGCTCGGGCCTCAACTCTAGGCTCCCGGCCGGCTATTCGCACTCGCTGCAGTACTTGAAAAACCAGACCGTGCTTTCTCCACTCATGCAGCCCCTGGCTTTCCACTCGCTTGTGATGCAGCGGGGGATTTTTACATCGCCGACAAATTCTCAGCAGCTTTACAGACACTTGGCCGCGGCCACCCCCGTAGGAAGTTCGTATGGGGACCTTTTGCACAACAGCATTTACCCTTTAGCTGCTATAAATCCTCAAGCTGCCTTCCCATCTTCTCAGCTGTCGTCCGTACACCCCAGTACAAAACTGTAAGCCCAGCTCTGCCCGGCGTCCGGCGCGGCGTGCCTAACGGAGCTTCCCTCCCAGCCCTGGGGGTGACGGCTTGGAGAATTAGAAGGCAGTATTTCTTCTAATCCGGGGGAGGTGAGATCAGCCCCAGCCAAAGGGGCCGCGAAGGGGAGGTGAACATACCTGATTTTTCTGGGACGACTCCAGCCTTGGCTGGTCAGTCTTGAGCTCCTTCCAACACAGATGCCCTTGCACCGAGATGGGTCACTTGGCACGAGGGTCTCGTGAAGGGATGTATGCGTGTCCGGGGAGAATTTAGAAGACCCCATCTTGAGTTGTGACGGTCAGGAACAATCTGGGCAAAAAAAAAGGGGGGGCAGGCATTTCACAGGAAGGGGCAAGGAAGACTGGCAAGCGTTTGCCAAGGGATGCCCCTCTTTTCCTAAAACTCTCCAAGGTTCAATCAATGCAATGTATAGTGGAACTTCAATAGATCTTTCATTTTGACACTATTAAACAATCCAGAGAAGTAAACACTGTTAAAATGACTGTATATATTTGCTTCTTAAAACTACCCGTATCACTGTTTGCTCACCTAATTTATATACAGGTAGTTCCATTTTCTCCCAGTTCCTTCTTGTCCTTTTTTTTTTTTTTTTAATTAAACAGTATCGCTTTTGTTTGCAGGTCTTTTGTTTTTGTTTTGTTTTGTTTTCAAGGCTGACTGACTGTCCTAGTTGTTGATGTGTGTCTGTAATTTTTCCACATCTTATCATTTTGAGCAGCTTTGGGTGGTAAAGTTATTGTTTACAAATTGAAGCAACTGATTCTAGTGGAACAAATGAAAAAGAAACAGTCGAGCACACAATAGTGCAAAGAATGTTCCTTTGCAGATCCGCAACTTAAGGATTTTGTTCCTCATAAATGGCATAGTTGAAAGAGCTTATACACTGCTTACCCGGCCAAATGCTTTGCTTTGAAGTATTGGGTTATGTGAAAATATCGAGCATTGTACTTACCTTATCTAGGCTGTGAAACTGTCCTACATACCAGAGGAATCATAACAAAAACCTCACTGGCAGCAAGCTGCTGAATAACAAGAGTCTAGAGGACATATTTGTGGGCTGCACAGATATTTCAGGAATTTCAGAAATTAGAACAGAAGCCAAAATGATTTACATTGGTGTTGGCACTGATCCCTTTAAACAGTGTGGGAAAGGGGGTTGGGAAGAAGATGGAGCTCGACTGTCTGGAAGAGAACGAGCGGCTGGAGGCCCGGGCACCAGATACCTTCCCTGGGCCGTGGTCTTTTGAGTAGTAGGTAGTCACGTTGCCTTCATCGAGTTGGTCTCTTGTTGTTCCCAAGAAGAACCTACCAGGCCACATCTTTGGGGAGAATTGGCATGCTGGATTACCCGTTTCAAATGAAAGTCATCTTCTTTGGGTTTATGGGGCGTTAGATTTGGGTGGATGCGCGCCCACTTGGTGGCATGCGTCATGTCTTTAACCACCTGGCAATACATTGGTCCACTTTATGATTTCTTTTGTCATTGGAAGAAACGGTCAAGTTGTTCATGGAGTCAAAAGATGTGCAGAGTGTGTATTGTCATTCTTGCCGCATTATTCCATTTGCTGCTGAGCTGTAACATCAAGGTGGATGCATTTTCTAAGCGTGTTGAAAGTCCATCGATACAGAGTGGATTTTCTTTCCAAGTCCCATCCCTGCTGATACGACTGCTTTGATGAACTCCCCAGCCAACCCTCCCCTCCCCCAACACTCCCAGTAGACATTAGAACCATAGTTAACCAGTCTTTTACCTCTGAGATATTTAATTCTATGAAAATTGATGACAATTTTCAACTTCTAAGTAGGTAACTCGACTGCAAAATAATCACAACTGATAAACAATGACACTGCGGCTCTTACACAAAGCCATGCATGCCGTGCATTTGTATTGAAATGTCTCCATGATATGAAGCCAAATATTCAATGTAACATACTTAATATCCAAAGGTGGAAACAAAAGAATGTAGAGATCTAGTGTTAAGAGTTCATTTGCTTCAATTAATTATTTACCTTCCTGTGGAATTTCACATATATATATATATTTACATATATATATATATTTAATAGAACCATAGATAGACTAGTAGAATATAGATTATAAATGTGTGAGTGCAGATTATCCTGCTATTGCACAAGATAGAGGGGGAAAGAGATCTCAATTCTAGCTGGCCGAATGGCTAGCCAGGACACCTAGAAGAAAGTTGCACTAGATTGAATGGTCGCAGAATCAGACGACATGGAAGAACACGGAATCTCCAGTGTTTCTGCAGTGGACATGGGCTAGATCGTGCATGGTTTCTAGGAGTTTGTTTCTCCAAGAAATGGGGGCCCACTTGTCCCTGGTGGAGCTCACCTACCCATTTGGAATATGGGCATTTGTTTTCCCCGCTACAGTGATTTCAGTCTGGTTTCATCATGTTGGAATTTGATCACACCATTTTTCAAACAATGTTAACATAGTCCAGCTTTTGTTTTTGTCATCTCTTCCGAGAGGAGAGTCACTGTTTCTGTCTGAGGAAGCTCATACCCTCGGCAAAACATCAGGACAAATAAAGAGAAATGGGGGTATACATTCCCAACAGAAGCAGTGTGTTATTTGTTTTAAAACTCCGAACAGAGATCTTGGAAATCTTTCAAAAAGACCATTGAATTCTTCATTGGCTGAGAACTACATTTTTAAAAGTCTTAAATAGGGCTTTGTTTGCATTGTTTGAGTTCAAGGGGCCTTATTATTGAATGGAATTGCACAAGCCTTTCTTTGTGCAATCAAACCATTGTTATTGGTAGTTTAGTAAAGGAAACTGTGGAATCTAATTGGCAATGGAGTCATAAATCTATTTACTGAGCGTGGCTTCCAAGAAATGTTGCAATTCAAAATAGCACTAAGTCCGTGATTTACTGGAGATTTGGAGATTCTAAATAATATTGGAAAAAAAAAAAAAAAAAAACCTTTCCATGCAACTTCTGGTTTAACTTTTGGCAACTCAAAAAAAACAAAAAAACAACAACAAAAAGAAACAAAACAAAAAAACCACCCCAGCCCAACTGAGTTTCAGAATTAAGTATTCTTCTAGTAAGTGATTGGAACTTGTAATATTTGCCACAGGACTGACTTATTTATTTACTAGCTAGAAGCTCTTAAGTTCACTTGTTTATCAGGGCATATACAGAAGGGTTTGTTAAAACTCAATGTTGTCTCTACAACTTTCTGACCTGGTGCATGAATTCTCAAGTACTGTATTTCAGCGTGTTGGTGTGTCTGATGGAAATTTTGAGGTGATCCCACAAAAATATTTTATGTAGTGTGCCTTCAAAGAGAACCATTTCTTTCTCTTCACTTGTTGTCCCACAAAGTCACATTTTGGTGGTGGTCAGCCAAGTCCCATCTGGTCCAGTTTTACTCTTGTCCCAGTTTTAAAGAGAAATGGGAACAAGTTTGCCCTGGTGAGACCCACACCATTGCAACAATTATCTTGAGCACTTAAATTCCAGTGTTGGCTGTTGATGTATTTGATATTCTGCTTGTCTCCCCATGGTTGAAATATGTCTGAAAAATAGCAGCATAATCTCTTGGCTGTTTATACTTTTTTAAACTTTCCTGTGTTGTAAATATTGTATACTTTTGGTGATTCCAGCTATGTAACCTCTATGCTCTGTAAGGTGATTATTTGTATATAGCAACATGGCCCAGTGATATTACATAGTTTCCCAATGGAGAGGTTATTGAGTAACCTTTGCATTAGTTTAAACACTACCAGAAGAATGCTGAGCCAAACTATAAACACTCAATTTTGTATGTTTTCCAAATTGTACTTATTACTGCTTTTGATACTGTATTACGTGCCAATAGTTTCCCAATCACATAGCAGGCAAGAGATATTTTGTACTTTTTGATCCACTGTAATATTTAATAAAAAATGTTACTATCTGTTTCCTTTTGGGTGTGAACAATCTGTTACCTCTTCCTGAGGAGTCCCAGAGCCTCACAAGGGTTCGTTCCACCCCATTGTCTCCAAATTGGATCACAGCAGCAATGATGAAGATGGTGGTGGTAGTGATGGTGAGGATGGTGTCTTTAGTTTGTTGAGAGCCCTCTGGGTGCCCGGCTGGCATCCAGTATCTAGGCTTGTCTTCACAATCCTGCGTGAATACAGGTATGCCCATTTTACTGATGAGAACACTGCAGCTTAGACAGGTACATCAACTCACGCCAGATCACCTAACAAACCGCAGAGTCGGGAATTGAACCCAGAGCTCTTAAGTCTATGACTTCCTTTATATGTCACAGTCCTCTCCTGGCAGGTAACAAGTCACTCTCTGTTTACTTGGTCCCCAAAGATTTACTCATGCCTCAATTGCCAGGCATAATGTTAGGAACTGGGAATACAATGGTGAGGAAAAGATAAATATTGTCTCTGGAGCTTATATAATCTTATGAGAGAGAGCTAATCAAGTAGTCACCCATATAAATCAAAACCTCACCCTGACCTAGTTCCAGGGGAGAGGAGGGCAGTAACTAAAGTGATACATGAAGAGGAAGTGGTGACTAAACTGACATGTGAAGGATGAGTAGGAGTTGATCAGGTGAGAGGGAATTGGGAAAAGAGGAGTCCAAACAGAGGGCACCACATGTGCAAAGGCCCTGTGGCAGAAACAAGTTTGGCTTATCATAGGAATCCAAAAGAGAGAGAGAGAAAGAAAGACCGACCTGTGTAACAGAAGCATGATTTACAAGGTCCAGGGAATGAGGTTGAAGTGAGGTGAGAGAGTATAATGGGCCAGCTGAGTAGGGCTAACAGACCAGGCTGAGCATTTTGGTCTTTTTCCTTAGAAAAGGTTGAAGCAGGGAGGTAACTTGTTCAGATTTCTTTCAGTGTCACTTTCTGGCTGCTGTGGAAAGGCAGACTGAGAGCAGTCTAATACCAAGATGGTGGTCATTTCGTCTGGGGTGGTGGAGTGGTAGAGTGGCTACAGTTCAGAGGTACTTAGAAGAGTGAAGAGACTTAGCAGTGGATTCAATGGGACAATTGATGGCTATTCAGGAAGGGCTGAGAAGCTGGGAGAGCAGCATGTTCCGACACCTGATGAGGATGGACAGGGTTCTGACCGTCCGTCCCCTTAACCCTCTGCCTCCAGGCTTCCCCCTGGTTTTGCTCAGCTTACTATTAGTTGAAATGAGGTAATCACAAAGTAGTACCCTGGGTGCTCCCTTCTTCATGGGTCCCAGAGATTGGCACAGGGTAGAGGTTGGACAGACTTTGGTGGGGGTCTTGTTTTACAACCCACACCATCTGGTCAGGCTGGACTTGGAATAGACAGGAGAGAGTAAGCTGCTAGCAAGTATGTCACCACAACTCTTGGGGAAAACAGACGGATATTCTGATAAAAGACACTAGATGCTTTTTCTTATCAGGAAAAGGACTTCAGGAATTGCAGCAACATATCCTGGGCTTCACCCTCTTCTTGCTGGTTATCATCCCTTTGTAAATCCAAACACTCCAGACCAGGGTAGGACCCCTTGCCCCGTGGTCTCCTCGCCTTCGCTCTGATTCACGTGGATTTCAC